GTCCGTCCTGCTCCCGCCGCCCGCCCGGGGCAGGGAGGAGGGGGCGCAGAGAACGCTCTCGGGTGTTAACGTGGGTAATTGAAGGTCGCAGCCCTGGTTCCAGCGCGACCCTCCGAGCTGGTTAACGAAGGCGTTGGGGTAACAGTGCTGGCTCCCGCTGCGCGGGGATTCTGCTCCTGCTTAGCTTCGTGCTGCTCGGCCAGAGGGGTGAGCGAAGGCCTGAGGGGGTACAACGAGCCGAAAACTTGGTTCGAACGGGTCCGTTCCGACAGAGCACCGTTGGAATTGGAGAGCTGTTTGCGACTGGATTTCTCTCTCGTTGCGAGATCACCCTGGCTGCCTTTATAGATGTGCTTTGCTCTGCCGAGGGGGTCGCTGAGGGGCTAAAGCAAGGCAGGGCAGGGGTGGCAGGTGCGCAGACCTGAGGCGTGTTTCCATCCTTCCCAAAGCCCTTAACCGCCCGGCGAGGCGTAGTCGCTTCTGGTCTGGATTTACTTGTTTGCTGTTGCCTGTTAGCCTGCCTGTGGCTCGTGAGGAGGAGCGGCGTTACTGGCAGTGCCTCGGCCGGTCCTGATTGATTTCTCTGTAACCCTCAGCTGCTTTTTTCAGTGATTAACTTCTTGGGTAACACCACGACCCCAACAGACAGTTTCTGGTTGCTGCTGCTCTGGCCAGTCCCATTCGCAGTGTGCACTTGCCTTTGACTTAGAGTTGCTCACGGGCTGCTTGACTCAAGGGGTGTAGCCGGAAAAGACGTGGTCTTGCCCAGGTGGAGGCTGGAGCTTGCTGTTGGGTTTTACGCAGTTAGCTCAAAGTAGAGTGTGTTGGCAGCTAGTGGGAGCGCCCGTTAGAGCATTTATGGGCAAACTGAGCTTTTTTGGTGCTACAGTTCTTAGAACTGGTTTGTGTGTTGATGGTCTGCCCAACCTTTGTATTGCTCGTTATTTAGTAGACATCAGTTGCAGCGTTTGCTTCGTTAGAACAACTGAGCCAGGCGTTGCAGAATAACGTTCTGTTGTAGGTGTTGTTCTACGTTCAATAGTTACCCACAGCTCTGGCCATTTTGAGGTCCTGTCTGTAGCTGCCAAGTACTTTGCTGCGCTGATGGGTGGTTGTGGGGATTCTTCGATGTTGGAAGCTGAGGTGATGTGAGAGCAAAAAGGGATGGAAGAAGAATAGCAATATGATTATCAGGTTATTATATTTATTTGTGAAAGGTTACTCATGTGCCACAGGCACAGGACAGAGAAGGGAGGAGATAGTTGTGGTCTGAAAAAATTTTATAAAAACAGCATCAAAAAAAACCAAACAGCAAAATGTTTTTGAGAGCAGTGATTGTTGGAAGGATAGGTAAGAAACTGGTATTTGTACTTCTCCAGTTAAAGAACTTTATATCTGGCACATTAGATGGAGTTTCGCTCTTGTATTTGTTTCCGTTTTGAGCTTGTTGTCGATGGAAAATAAGCACAGTGATACTGGGGAGAGAAAGAAGCAGTGAATGTCCAGCTGGCTTTTTAATTGGGACAAATATTCCAAAGAGTGGACATACTTGGCAGGGGGATGGTGTTATTTTTTTTTTTTAAAGTAAAACTACCTTGGC